CACTTGCCAAATTGCTCCTCCCAAGTCCCAAGTCCCAAGTCCCATCCCCTAGTTTACATGAGTTTTAGGTCAGACAAGCAGGTAAAGGGTCGAGTTGTCCGTCACTAGAAAAGTAGAAATGCTTGTGAGAAAAAGGGTCGAGTTGCCCGTAGCATCTTTATAATTTGACGCATTTTTAAAGGCTGCCGCCAAGCTGCTTCGCCCTTTGCTCCTCGCCACCACCACTTAGAGCCTCTCTTCTTCTTACTCTTAGGCGAGTTCGCCGGTGGCATGGAAAGAGGACACAGCTCTTCTTTAGATCTAGTTCGCTTAATTTAAGTTCAAATAAATATACCAGCAAAATTAGTTGATTTCTGGTCAGAACCTTGTCATTTGTGATGATTTCAAGAATTGCCACGATGTGGTTGTTGATGCATGCGTCAATTCTATTGGCAGTCAATCAATTCCACTACTACAGAAACCATTTGTAGCGACGTCTATTGAAATAGACGCTGCTAGAATCGTCTTTAAAATGTTTTCGATCCTAGACACTCTAAAAATTCATTTTTAGAGGTGGTTGGTATAAAATGCCCTAGTTTTAGAGGTAGCTCTAGATCAAGCCACCACTAAAAGTCAACTTCTAGAGGCGGCTACATCTAGAACCTAGATCTCCATCACCCCTTATGCCTTGTTCGTTACCATCAGCTAGACCCTAGCTAATCATACTCAATGAAAGTTCACATGGTTGGCATTCAATTACCAAAACCAAATTAGGGATTTTATCTAGCCACTTAGATACCATCAATATGTCTGAAGAACACCAGCATGCTCCGTCCTTGCATCCTAGGGCATGCTACAGGAGTAAACAAGTTGTTGAGCTCTATTTACAATCCTACCACACTTCCCTCCCATCCATTCCCCACTCTGCTCTCACTCTCTTTCCCCAACCTGCTGGCGGCGGACTAAAGCCATCCTCTCTCATGCTCTCTACTCCATCATCGCCATACTCATCGACACACACATCTGCAATGCACAGTCAACACTGTAATGAACCTGCAGTTAGTGCAGACGATCGTATCTTGGTTTCATTTGATTCGTACCATATTTCTTGGATCTAGAAAACCCAACCTCAGTTATAGTATTGTTCTTGGATCCGCAGATAAAAATAACTTTTCTTCTTTTGGTGTTGGTGGCCTTCTGTCATGACCCAATCGTGGCATGGTCATTTTCATAATCATCATATGCATTGTAATCTCATTTTGGAAAACTCTACATGCATAAAGTTACACTTTTTGGGCTCTGCCCTGTTCAAGTGAACCGTCTGGCGCACCCTCGGACCATTCACCAAAACATGTACACACTTAGCAATTTTTACCAAGTCAGTGTCCCCACAGACCATCCGATGTACTCCCAGATCATCTGCCAGATCACTTCAGACACAGTAGTGAGCTATCCTCACTGGGGCATTCCTGGCCCCAACTGTTAGGATAGCTATCACCATTTCGTGGAAATGGCTTCAGCAACAACACTCACTCCTTCATACGCTTCAACTCATACTCTCTCGGTAGTTCATCTCTCTCTCACTCTAGAACCGATCCAAGAGCACTAGGAGGAGAAGAGGGATTGGAGGTTTTCAACAGCAAGGAGACCATGTAGATCAACCCAGAGTAGGCCACACGTGGATGGGGATAGAAGAGGGAGGAGCCCTCTCTCCCTAGAAAAAAGAAGCTAGGAGGAGATTCCAGGAAGAAGGAGACCAAGGGGAAAGAGGAGTGAACCATGCCTCTTCCACTCTTCAATAGTCTTAGCAACACCTCCTACTCCCCTGGGTAAGTGGATTTTGAGCACAAAACCTAGGTTTCACCATGGATGAAGCACACCATGGATGAAGCACTAGTGTTACATTCATCACTTAGAAAATGACCCATATACACTTTATGTTGATTAGATGGAATGTAGCTAGATTCAACTAGTTAGATGTGAACTATGGAACCCTAGGAACACCCCACAAACCTAGTCTACACATGCACTCACCCTAGGAAGAGATTTTATTTTTGAGATCTCGAAACACATAAATTTAGTTCCCATGGACCGTCCGCCGTGTCACCGAACCGTCCGCGAGAACACCACTAACTTCAAACACTTAGCCACCACGGTCGATGTTCCCACGGACCGTCTGCAAGACATACCGCAGTCGTTGCTTCTCTCTCTCTCTCTCTCTCTCTCTCTCTCTCCCTTGTTTCCTTCTTCAGCATCTCCTTTCCCTACCTGAAAGCTCCTACAGAGGCTCAGGCTCTCGGCCAACGTGGTGATGCGGCGGCGGTGCGCTCTCATCTCGCGCACACGGGCGGCGGCTCACACCCTGGCTTGCACGTTGAGGCCACGACAACGCCCCTAGGTCCTTCCTGCGCGCAGAGGTGGCGGCGCTCAGCCTACTCGGGGAGGCTCTGTGGCAGCGCCTCTTGGCCCGCACGACGCACGCAGAGGTCACAACGACGAGTAGATGTTGTAGTGGTGCTGCATCCGTTGTTGGATTCGATTCGATTTGGCTGTGATTTGCTTGTATCTGTGTGTGAGGCTTGCTCGTAAGTCGAGCGTATGTGAAATGTGAATCGAGTTTTTGCTCTTTATTATATATAAATTGTACAGGGCCATGGGCCAGCACGGGCTCGGTGGGCTGGCCATGCCGTCAGGCTGACTCGACACGTCCTGAGTCTTATAATGCTGTGCTTGGGCCGTTGTTGTAGCTCGTGGGTGCGCACGACATGGCCTAATGAGTTAGTCGTGCTGTGCCGGTCTTACCCCATCGGGTCATGTGTAGTCGGGCCCGGGCCGGGCGGGGTCGGCATGGATGACCTATTTGGCCATCTATATACCTGGTATCGGTGACCGGTTCACTCCACGTGGCATCGCTATCCACGTGCTTCCACGCGTCTCCCACTCCCATTCAAATAAATATTTTGCCGTGCTTAGAGCATCTTCAAGAGTATTCTATTTTTTTCTCCTAAAAATATATAGTTTTGTAACTCTTAAAAAGATATTGGTAGGAAAAAAAGAAGGCCATCTCCAAGAGTTTCTAATAATCCACTCCTAAAACATAGAAAATAATTTTACATCAGAAATCCTATACTGTTTCTAAATTATTGTAACCACTTTTATATATTCTTTCTCTATCATACATTTGCATAGGAACCCTTTCCTACTTCTTATTCTTTTTCACACCCTTCCACCTTTAGATTGACCGACCGGCGACGGATATGCACCGGATCCGCGCGCCCGCTACTAAGCGTAAAGTTACGCGTAACGGGGGAGGATTTCCCAAGTACCTAAATTTTAGGAGCATAGATCATGAGTTGTTGGAGAGGTGTTTTTTCTCATCTTACTAAAAACCAAAGATTAGGAAGAGAAATACGGTACTCTTGTAGATGCTCTTAGTGCTTACACTTCATTATATAGCCTCTTAAGTTCCACGCCACTCCATCAGCTTCCCATATATATCAAAAAAAAATGTTTAGCTTTGCTGATCGTGTTCGTCAAGTTTATTCGGTGGTCTAGTAGGTACACTGGAAAGTATCGGAATCAACGAGACGATGCGCTGCAACCTTTAATGCTGGCTGCCTCCCATCCCATCTATGGTGATTCCTAATCAAATCAAATTCGATCAAGTGCTTCAACTTTGCATCTCCGACTCTGGAACCACAGTTTTAATTTGTTCTTCCGATCCATTTATATAAGAGAGGCCTCAGGCGAGTGACGAATATGGGCAAGCAGCGATTGCATACGAGCAGCAGATGCAGACAAGCACAATGGCAAGCAGCGGCCAGTGCTATGCGTCAACCAGAGATGTTTGGCGTGTTTGGATGGCAACCTCCGGCCAGGCAACTCTGTCCTAGCCTCCATACCGATTTACTATATGTCCACCGTGCTTTTCCCCAAAACTTTCATCGAAAAAAATTACCTCTATCGTTAGGAGATTCTGGTGGGCTGGTGTTCAGGAACAAAATTCTACCAGTCTTTTCCGCTTCCGCTCTTGGGAAGACAGTTGTTAAACAAAAGACAACAGTGGCCTCGGCATCAAGGATCTCTTTATAGTCAACCGCAGCCTCATCCTTCACACTGCTGGAACATTGCCACTAATAGAGACCCTTTCCTTACTGCAATTCTCAAAGCTAAATATTTCCCAACCACCTCTTTCTAGCTTTCAAATAATACCAGCACCAAATCAGTTTTCTGGGCATCTATACTCCAAGTAAAGCAGATTCTAAATCAACATTGCACCATTCAACTTCAAAGAGCTGATTCCAGCATCTGTATCGACCCCTTGATGTGCTATTTGGAACTCTATCATGACCACATTAACCTTCCGATCACTAGGACTAGTCTCCCTCAAACTATGGCTAATCTTCGGGTTCCTCTCTCTCTCTCTATATATCCTGGAACACAGAACTTATCTCTGAGATTTTCGATGACCCAGCCACCCAGATCATTACCCAAACTCAGACTGTCCCCTCACACCAAACTGACATTGTCAGATGGAGACCGGCCAAAAAAGGTTTTTGCACCTCCAAAGAAGCCTTCAAACTTCTTAGCGCTGCCTTGTAGGTTCAACTCCCTCAACATGGCACCAGAAGCATATCCCAACAAGCCATGTTCATAAAAGAGCATGGAAACACAAGCAGCTTCCACCATACATCAAAACCTTCTGCTGGAGACTGATTAGAAGGGCCCTTGCAACTGGAGAAAGAGCAGGGAATCTATCAACCAAAATAAGTAAGCAATGCACAACTCGCAACTTGTCTGAAAATTATGCTCATTTATTTTCCCACTGCACCTTTGCTAGCTAGAGCGGTTTGGTTCTCTTACCAACCACAACACATCGGATGAACATATTCAAAAGATATTAACCACCCTCTAGTACATTTGGAAAGCCAGGAATGATCATCACTTCCAAAGGAAAATTTGGACTGTTGGGCAGGTACATAACGCGGTGGTTGCGGACATCAACACCACCTCGCTCTCCAATGGCCGAAATGAAGAACATGTGCATGAGGATGAAGAACAAAATGACGATTCGTCCATGCCAGGTAACAATCTCCCCATTGCAGGACCACCAAAAAGTGAAGCCACTGGACACAATGCTGCTGAAGGTCAACCTTTGCTGTATTCGGCAATGCCTGGCCCGCCTCTGTACAGAGCAATGTTGTCGGCGCTACTTCCAGGCACAAGACGTTGGAGTTGTTCCAAATTCACTTCAGGATATAGGCCGGGCTTCTGACGGAGCGGAGCGGAGGCCCGTCGCCGGAGGCTTGGGCCGGAGCGTAGAGCTGTTAAGTGTCTTTTCCTTGGTTATAGTTCGGGAGCCAAAGGCTATAAATTGTGGAATCCTGAAACAGGAAAGACTTTTATGAGCAGGAGTGTTGTTTTCAATGAATCTGTGATGTTTACTGACAGTTTGCCCTCAGATCATGTTCCAGAAAAAGAGCTGCAGCGTATGCGCATGCAGGTGGAGCATGTTGATGATGATACAGGTGTGCAGGTGGAGCCTGTTGATGAGCATGGTGACCATGATAATGATGTTGCTGAGGATGATGCTCATGATGATGTTCAGCAAACTCCTCATATTTTGCAGTTAGAGGAGGATTTACCTATTGCTCAACGCAAGTCAAAAAGGACAATTGCACCTCCTAAGCGTCTTATTGAAGAGTGTAATTTGTCTTACTATGCTTTGAGTTGTGCTGAACAGGTGGAGAATGTTCATGAGCCAGCAACCTATAAAGAAGCTATTCATTGTGGTGATACTGAGAATTGGATTTCTGCTATGCATGAGGAGATGCAGTCTCTTGAGAAGAACAGTACATGGGAGATTGTACCTTTGCCTAAGAATAAGAAGACCATCAGCTGCAAATGGATCTTCAAGAGAAAGGAGGGTTTATCTCCAAGCGAGCCTCCAAAGTATAAGGCAAGGTTAGTTGCTAAAGGCTACAGTCAAATTCCGGGTGTTGACTACAATGATGTGTTCTCTCCAGTGGTAAAACACAGTTCAATTCGTACTTTCCTTAGTATTATTGCTTCACATGATCTTGAGCTTGAGCAGTTAGATGTGAAGACTGTGTTTTTGCATGGAGAGCTTAAGGAGGACATATATACATGGACCAACCGGAAGGGTTCATAGTGCCCAGCAAGGAAAAAATATGTGCAAGTTGAAGAGATCCTGTATGGTTTGAAACAGTCCCTCGTCGAGGGAACAAGAGGTTTGATTCATTTATGTTAGCACACGTTTTAAAAGATCTAAGTATGATAGCTGTGTTTACATCAAGCATGTTAATGGATCACCTATATATTTGTTTGTTATATGTTGATGATATGCTGATTGCTCGCCAAGAGTAAGATTGAAATCACTAAGTTAAAGAAGCTATTGAGTAGTGGTTTTGATATGAAAGATCTTGGTAGTGCTAAGAAAATTCTTGGTATGGAAATTAGTAGAGACAGAAAAATCTGATTTGCTATTTCTTAGTCAACAAAATTATATCAAGAAAGTTCTTCAAATTTCAACATGCAAAATGCTAAGGCTGTTAGTACCCCTATTGCACCTCACTTTAAGTTGTCACCGCTTCAAAGGTCCTAGTACATGATGCAGAGATTGAATACATGTCAAGGGTTCCTTATTCTAGTGTCTTCTTTGGGTCTTTGATGTATGCCATGGTTTGCTCTCGTCCAGATTTGTCATATGCTATGAGTCTTGTTAGTAGATATATGTCTAATCCTCGGCAAAGAACATTGGAGGGCGTTCAATGGATTTTCAGTACCCTCGAGGCACAATGATTCTGTTTAAAGTTTGGAAGAACTGATAAGGGTCTTATTGGCTATGTGGATTCTGATTATGTTTGTTGATCCGGACAGTGCGAGATCACTTACAGGTTATGTGTTTCTTGTTGATGCCATTGTCTTTGTGAGTTGGAGGGCTACTTTACAGCCAGTTGTTGCTTTGTCTACTACTAAAGCAGAATATATGGCTATTTATGAAGCGTGCAAAGAATTAATTTGGCTGAAAGGTTTGTACGCTGAGCTTTGTGGAGTTGAATCTTGCATAAGTTTGCACTGTGACAGTCAAGTGTAATTTACCTCACTAAAGATAAGATGTTCCATGAGAGAACTAAGCACATAGATATCAAGTATCATTTTGTGCGTGATGTGATTGAAGAAGGTAAGCTGAAGGTATGCAAGATTAGTACTCATGATAATCCTGCTGATATGATGACAAAGCCTGTTCCTGTTGCTAAGTTTGAGCTGTGCTCAAGCTTAGTTGGTTTAATTGGATAGTCCAAGAGATTATTGTTGGTACCAGCGGTTTTCTATCTTTGTTATGTTCAGGATGAAGGGTTGATTTATGATACAAGATGAATTTGTCTCAAGGTGGAGTTTGTTGGAGTTGTTCCAAATTCACTCCAGGATATAGGCCGGGCTTCTGACGGAGCGGAGCGGAGGCCTGTCGCCGGAGGCTTGGGCCGGAGCGTAGCGGAGTGTGAAGCGGGCCTATCAGGTCTCGCCCCTGTGCTCGGGGGGTGCGGGGGGCGGAGCCCCCGCGGTACGGTACGGTATATACACCCTTGCTAGGGTTTCGTAGAGACTTGATTCTCTTGTTAGCCGCCATAGGCGTGTAAACCAAAACTCTTGACATAGTGAGATTGTTGCTGGCTGGTGTCCGTGGTTTTTCCCCTTCACATTGGAGGAGTTTTCCACGTTAAATCGTGTGTCTCCTCTGTGGCTTGATTCTTTACTTCATATTCCTATACGTCGTTCATAACACAAGATGCTACACAGACGCATCAACAGAACCGGATCGGCCCCAACAGGTTCCCCAACGTGTAGTGTAGGTCTTGGAGTGCTCATCATCAACCCCCCGTCACCGTTCTGTGATCTACATCAAAGCATCCATGGCCAACACCACCTCTGTTCTAATAGCTGAAGCAGCGGCTTTGGCATTAGCGGCTTCGGTGGTCTCTGGGTTGGACATACAAAGCCCTGTCTTCCTGACTGATAATCAGAAGCCAGTGACGTTCTTCAATGGACACGATCAAGCCCTACACCCAGAGCTTCATCAGCGCCAGCTCCAATAACAACTCAAGGGTGTTTAAGATTTCACGAAACCTAAACACCACGGCACATGTTCTAGCTACTCAGGCTTGTCATTCGACGTCCTTCTATCCATTGAACACGCTGATCACTTGTATACCAATCAAAATCATGTATCCAGCTGCCCTCCAAGAGCGGCACTGAACTCTGTATCCTAGGAGTCCTCCCTCATCGCAGCTCCGTGCTGCTAATACAATTATCCGTTATAGAAAAAAAAAAGATAAAATAGTAAGCTGCTCAAGCTATTTGCACGGATGATGTTGCTAGTTTGTCTTAAACTAATAATTATAATACATTTAGATTGTTTAATAACCCCATCGATAAATTGATCTATGTATATCCTTTAAACAGCATCCTGTCCAAAATCACTTATTTAACTCGTAGCCAAAATTAATATAATTAGATTAATATGCGATGTGCTTTTATAGTAAAATATTGACTTTTTTTTGTAAATCCAGTTCATCTTAAAATTAGTTGATTTATTTATTGAAAAATGCAGTGGCGAATCTAGAATTTTGGGTCAGGGTATGCTTCTCAAAAAATTTCATACGCAATTCAGAAAATCCACTTTCCAATTCAGTAATAAGGTTGTAATAAGGTTTAAAATCATGGATTAATTAGAAATCATATCCACTAAATACAATATAAATAGTTTCAAAAGCCAAACTGATAATTCAAATATATTCATATAGAGCACTAGAGACTTACAATGTTATCTTGCTGATGAGTTTATTCGACGCGTTCGAAGGGACATAAATGTCTCAATTATGTCATCTTCATCAACTTCAAAGAAAATATCTCGCTCAATGAAAGTGACGAGACAATCATCCAGAAGACTATCTCCCATCTTGTTTCGGGTTGATGAGCAAAACAATTGGAGTTGATGAGCAAAACAATGAATATAATAAGCAGAAGGTGAATCTTGCATGATCAATGTTTTCAGCCCTTTAATATCTCCTTTCATATTGCTAGCCCCATCATATCCTTGACCACGGATTTGAGTCAAACTCAAGCCATGACTAACAAGTAAAGCTTCAATTGCACTCTTCAGTGATAGAGAGGTAGTATCATCTACATGAACAACTCCAATAAAATGCTCACATGGCCTTCCCAATTTATCAACATAACGCAAGCAAAGAGCTAGTTGTTCTTTATGTGATATATCACTAGACTCATCGGCTAAAATTGCAAAGGGCTCATCACCAAGTTCTTCAATTATTTTCTTTCTAGTTTCTAGGGCACAACAGTGAATAATTTGCTTTTGTATGTCCGGGCTAGTTAAGGTACAATTACCTGGAGCATTGTCCAAAACATACTTGTTGACTTCTTCACTATTTCCAGCAAGAAATTTCAAAAGTTCAATGAAGTTCCCTCATTGCTAGATTCTTTACTTTCATCATGTCCACGAAATGCCAACCCTTGATGCAAAAGAAACTTGATATACCTAAGTGAAAATGTCAATCGCTTCTTATAAAGTCGAAGATCCTCATCACTCCACTTCTGAATATTATAATCAATTGCTACCTTGAGATTTATAAAGCCAATGTACCTCTCTTGAGCTGCAATATGTGCCTTGGAACCCAAATGTTTGAGAAGTGCAGGCTCTCCTATATTCCAATTATTCCACCATCAACAATAAATGCCTCCGACCCACTTTGCCCTTCTTAAACAAGTAGCATATAAAGCAAAATGCAGCATCCTTCTTAATACTATACTCAAGCCATTCATGATTGTACATCCAACAAAAATTGAATTGGCGATTTTGTCCTGAAATCCATGTTTTCGGAAAATCATGTGCAAAGGGTTTAAATGGACCTTTAGTAATATATGCTCTTCGAATTGCATCTTGATCCTTAACTGGATAACTACGAATGGGACGTCTTTCACCTGGATCATGTGGAAGACGATTGATATCATAAACCGGTTGAGCTGAAGGCGGCTGTGGTCGTGGCGGTGGCGGTACCACATTATTTTCAGTTTCCTCAACTACTCTCTCACGAGTCTCTTTGTTCCACCACAGTACAATCGAATTAGGAGAATGATTAGAAGTAGCGACGCCGCACGCCGCCGCCGCCTTCCTTTTTGCTTCATGCTTCCGATAAAGAGATGCAATGTCCCGTCTCTCTTCATAACGCATGAATTTTACAAAGAACAACAACGCCAAATAATTTCTTGAGTGAATCAATCAAAATTTGCATGGATCATCATTGCAAATTACAACTAAAAAATTGGAAGTCACATCTAATAAAATATACTTACTTTGCGGCTGTTTGGTGCTTTGCGTGCATTGGTGCTTATGCGTCCTGAATGGTCAAGCGATGCCTTCGTGCTTTAAGCGTCCTGAACAAACTTGCTCGATGCCTGGCGATCCCGGAGTCGAAGGTGACGATCAGGCGATCTCCGATCTGGGCAACTGCCGTCTGCAGTCTGCCGATGGGGAAAACCGAACGACACGAGTGGCGGCGAGCCGGCGAGTCAAGCGACGCGAATTGTACGAGACCTATCTGTTTCCGTTGCTGGGTTGGGCCGGCCTGATGTCGCTGACGCAACGACAGATGCTACTCGCGGTGTTGTTTTCTCTCTTTTTTTTAACAAAATACGTATATTTACTCCTGTACATCGTAGCAACGCAGGGTATGCTGTAGCATATACAGCATACCCTGTAGCTCCGCCCCTGGAAAAATGAGATGTGCAATTGTTTTGAGACCTTGTTTATTTTCTCCCTAAAAGTTTATATCATATCCCATCGAATATTTGGACACATGTATGGAGTATTAAATATAGATTAAAAAACTAACTAATTGCTCAGTTTGCGACTAATTTACGAGATGAATCTTTTAAGCCTAATTAGTCCATGATTTGATAATGTGGTGCTACAGTGACACATGTGCTAATGACTTATTAATTATGCTTAATAAATTCGTCTCGCGATTTACTTATGGATTCTGTAATTTATTTTTTTATTAGTATCCGAACACCCTATATGACACCTCCATATTTCAACTAACGTGACACCTTAAAACTTTACGCCCTGAATTTAAACGGGAAAGAAAACGGACAAGTGCACATCAGCACAATGATCACAGCTGACACTTGACAGCGCGTTCCACGAGAGAATAAAAAACGAAGAAGCGTACAACACAAGGTCGAGCGCTCAATCAACTCGAGGCCGCACTGACGAGCTCCGTGAGCTGCCGGACGAACTCGTCGGCGAACCTTCCCTGCACGCCGTCGTCCGTGAAGAAGTCGGCCCACTTCCTTGCGTCCCCTTCCCCTCCGTCCGCCACCGCCGCGGCGACCGCGTTGCACACGTCCTGGCGCCCGAACCAGCCGTCCTCGTCGCGTCGCGCCACCTCGACGCCCACGCGGAGCTCGCGCGCGAACAGCGCCGCGTTGAGGTACTGGTCGCCCTTCATGGGCAGCAGCACGAGGCGGCAGCCGGCGACGAGCCCCTCCACGACAGAGCTGAAGCCGGCGTGGGTGACGTAGCACCCCACGCTCCGGTGGCGCAGGATGTGCTGCTGCTGCACCCAGCCGGAGCACAGCACGCCCCTACCTGCCACCCTCTCCGCGAACCCCAGCGGCGGGACGACCGCTTCTCCGTCCGGGGAGTTGAACACGGCGAGGAACGGGCGGCCGGTGGCCTCGAGGCCCAGGAGGAGCTCCGTCGTCGCGGAGGGCGGCAGGAACGTCTCGCTGCCGAACGACGCGAACACGACGGCGCCGTCTGGGAACGCGGACAGCCAGGTGGCCCAGCGCTCGTCCAGCTCCCCTTGGGGCGGGTCCGACACCAGCGGCCCCGCCAGGAGCACGGGCTTCCGAAACTGGGCGGCCAGGTAGTCGACGTAGGCACCCTCCATCTCGGCGCAGGTCTTGACCACGATGCCGTCGCAGGCCCGGATGCCGGCCACCACGCGGTCGTAGACGCAGGGCTGGCCGCCGAAGCTGGTGAACATGTAGGTGAATTCGGCGGCCTGGTATGCCGGAACGCCGGTGGCGGCGAGCGGGGAGGAGGCGGGAAAGCCAGCGGGGGCGGACATGAGGTGGCGCGCCGACGGCAGCGCCCCCGCTCCGGCCACGTCGGGGCGGCTTGCGGGGAGGGCGAGGTATGCACCCGCGACGGCGGAGAAGACGCTGAAGTGGAACGACTTGATGCCCAGCGCCGCGGCGTCGTGGGAGGCCCACGGGGTGACGAAGTCGAGCAGCACAGCGTCCGGGCGGAGCTCGGCCAGCAGCGCGGCCACCTGGGGCCGGGCGGCGTCCAGCGCGACCTTGAGCAGCTCGGCACCGTCGGGCGAGAGGTTCGCCGTGCTGGCGGCGCCCTCGGGAAGCCCCGGCACGCGGGGCAGTTTCAGCGGCACGACGACCACCCCACCGGCGGAGGAGGCCGAGGACAGCATGGCCTCGACGCGCGGGACGTTCCCAGCGACCGTGAGGAACGTGACGCGGACCGAGGAGGAGGAGGCCAGCAGCCTCCGCGCCAGCTGCGCGAACGGGACGATGTGGCCGAAGGCGATCCACGGGAGCATGAGCACGTGCATGGGCGTGGCGTTGCTGCCGCCGCCGGCGTCCCGGTTTCCTCTTCCGCCGGCCGCCATGGTGCTGTCCAATACTCCAATCCTGTCTGGTTCTTGCTGTGACATGGAGTGGAGTGTGTGAGCAGCGATGCAGCATAGCATTGTATGATAGTAGTACGGGTGGAAATTAGGCATGTGTAAGTTGTCCAATCGCAATCGTCATGTCCTAGTCGCACAACAACCTTCAACAGGTACCGACTTAATTCTGAAAAAGTTAAATAGGTTAAACTTTATAACCAAATATATATATAAGAAACTATTTATATTTATTATGCATAATTGGTATTATTAAATAATCACTGAATATATTTTCAAAATAAACTTATTTTAAGATATAAATATTGTTGATATTTTCTATAAATCTAGTCAAATTTAAGAAATTTTAACCGGCATGCATCCTATAGCGACACTTTTCTTCTTAGGACGTCACAAAAAAAGGTAAATGCCACTAGGTGTCAAATTTCTCACCACACGATAATGCTGAACTTCTCTCCTGACCTAAATGGGAAGAAGATAAGAGCTAGGAGAAAGAGATATGAACCACAGATCTTATATCTAACGGTTAAGGGTGTGTTTGATAGTGAGAAATGTCTCAAACCGTTGGGCGTGCAGAGGCGACTAATAGAATTCTTGGATCATCTAGGCGTAGATCAGTGGGGAAATTCTTAACTTAGCTAAGGACTTGGTGATGTACCTCGCCGCATGCAGTGGCGGCCATGGCACCGCCGCGACGTGGCCACTGATGTCGGAGTAGAAGTAGCATCATAGTGGGGCGCGGTCAAGTAGCGACACCGATGGAGCTTCTCGTCGCTCACAGCACTCCTCTCTTAATCAGACTAGGCTTAGACTCGGTGGAGAACTGAGGGCAGCAGTGAACCTCGTACCTTGCGCCCGGCCCCCATCTTTCTCTTTATATTGCTGCGCGACGGGGGCCCATCAGCCAGGAGAATGGCTGGGCGCCCCCTATCAAGACGTGGATCAAGGGCTCAATTAACCGTTGGGTCAATTTGACGAAGATCAACCTAACAGCGACGACCAGTGATTTCTGCAGTGGCCGATGGATGGCAGCTGCGAGTACTTTTGGGTTTCTATTATATTTGATGATCACAGAGTAATAAATATTTATATAATGTTCTAGTGAGTCCCAGCCCTCAACAAGGAAACTGCGTCCATAGAATCGAATGATATGCCAGTTAAGGACAGTCCGAATGCATAGTTTCTATAGAAAACTCTTAAAAGGAGAATGCTATTTAGGTCCCGTTCGCTGGTCTGAACTTTGGCTGAAACTAGCTGAAAAATACTGTTCCGGCTGAATTGTTGTGAGAGAAAAATACTGTTCCGGCTGAAAAAATAAGCCGAACAAGCCAAATTTAAGACAAGCGAACGGGGCCTTAGACTCAACATTTTTAATGTATGGTTCCTATAAATAGTTTCTACAAAAGACTTGCGTACAATACAAACAAAGAATGGTCAGCTGTGGCAAGCAGCCCTGTGTCCTTTTTCTGCTAAACTGTATTTTGAATAAATCACGATATGAATTCTACAGTGGCACACAATGGTCCACCGTACTAAGTACCATGATGTTACCTGTTGAACACCAACAGCTTGTCCTCCGATGGTAGCTGCACCTGCACGGGCAGCCCTAGAGCTTGTCCCCAACATGGCTTTCTCCAGTTGTCTCTCTCTTCTCAATAAATTTACTGTCATATCATCAAAATATGTACGTGGCAGTTTAATTATTATGTATAAAACTATCTTGATTTCAGTAGTGGAAGGGTCCTATTGACAACCAAAAGTGACCAAAGTGTATAATGGACTCCGCCATCATATTTCTATGGTCAAGACAATTAGAAAACGTATATGGATTATCTCATTTGGAGCCCGGACAAAGAAATAGTGTTTCGGGGGTGCTGCCTTGTTGTGCATGATTTGATTACACCATTGCGTTCCTCTTGTCGAGCTGATCGAAAAACATATATGGTTTGTCTTGTTTGGAGGCCGGATAAATTAATTATAATTTTTGAAAAATTTTCTACACCGTACTGCAGCAAAACCGTCCAGGCCGGTTTGGGAACCAGTGGCTGTCCAGGCCCCGTGAAAACCGGCCTAGCCGGTTTGCCTATACCAGTCCGACACAAACTCTATTTTGGTCGGGATTTGGATATATTTTCGCATAGAAAATTTAGAGATTACAATCTGGAGTTGTTTCCTTTTAGGATAAGACCACTCCCTCTATATATATGAGAGGATCATGGCCGATTGAAGGATCCAACACTCAATCATCAAAAAACACATCTACTACCTCTCTCTAGCCTCTTTTCCTATCTACCTCTTTTTCTCGTTCTTCGTCGGCGCTGCATGGACCGTGGATTGACGACGGCGAAGCTCTAGAGCGGTCAGGCCGGCTAGAGCATCCCATAGCCGCTGCACACCTCGATGGCGTCCCTCCTGGGCGTGTGGGGTTTCGGGTCTCAAGAGACCTCGCTGGCGTGTCTTGCGTATCGCGCTCCCAGTGAGGCTCTTTCAGCGACATGTCTTGCGGATCGCGCTCATCGCTGGAGGCACAAGGTCCAGGTGTCGACATCCCCTAAGCGTCGGCCAATCTAAAAATTGGCTAGGCCCTACATCGAGCAATCTAGCTCCTTATCGAGTGTGTGACCTAATTAAGCGTTAACACACTTTTTGACGACTCCGCCGAGGACGATTGGTTCAGCTATCTCCTATAGCCGATCTTTCTGCCCTAGCCAATTTGTTGGTTCCAATCTATTCTTTTTGTGTTTATCATTACCGTTGCATCTGGCTCAAAAGGACGATAGTATCTGGTCTTGATCTCCTCTTTTAGGATGTGGAGCAACGGTCGCAACGGCGAGTTCACTGGTCCAATGGGTCAGGGGGGCATCATCAAGTCATCAACAATAGCTGAGGTAAAGGCATGTGGGATTACTGAAGATTCTCCTCTTTTGGATATTATGATTAAGACTATGTCTGAATTTATTAAGTTAGAGGAAAGAATGTCTAGTACTCCTATTGCTACTTTACCTCATGCTGCACATATTAGTGAATCGGCCCTGACTTTTAGTCAACCTCAATATGAGAGGCCATTTCACTACTATCTTGATCAACATGGCAGGTTTGTTTTTGATAATCAATCCGAATTGGCCTCTTCGGCGCCTGAAACTGATAGGGCCAATTCAGGAGGGGTTAGCACTGTATTATTTTGATCAACATGGTAGGGTGATTTTAAAGAGTCAATCCAAATTGGCCTCTTCAGCGCTTGAAACCAATAGGACCAATTTAGGAGAGACTAGCACTATACCTCCTGCTAAGAGGTTGTCTTATTGTTATATTGATCAAAATGGCCAGCTTATTTTCAGTAAGAAACCTGAATTGGTCTCTTCGGCACCTGAAACTGATAAGACCAATTTAGGAGGGGTTTGCACTATTTTTCCTGCTACTACATATACGCTGAATTCGGTTTGTACCTCTCGAACCGATGACGGGACAGCAGCACCGCATGCTTCATTGCCTCATATTACGGTGTTGTCTGACTCTCCAAAGTCATCAAGCATGGATCCAATGCCTGAGGCTTCATGTGATGCCTCCCAAATCGACTCACAAAAATTTATTAATCGGTTTTGGAAATCAAGAGAGGCACAATTGGACATGCAAGTTACGTATGACGGAGATGCACATCATTTACCTTGCAATAAGACACTTTCCATGGCTAAAGTTCTAGAGATAAATAATCCAGCCATCTTGATTCGGCCGGAACAAGCCAATCCCACTATTAGAAAAAGGTGATAATCGGCGAGCCTAGAGAATCTAAGAAGGGAAAGAAAGTCTTAGACCATGAAGTGGTGCTAGAAAAGTCCAATGGTAATCGGGAGAGTCTCAAGATCACTATAAAATGTTCTGGGTTCAGGGGGCAAGCTCAAACTCCCATGGACAAGCAAAAATCAGCCACTAACACTATTGTTCAAAAAGGGTCAACTAGGCTGACTTTAAAAGTCGGCCAAACTAATTTTAATGTTAGTGGACAGAAAAAATCAGCAAGACCGATTTCCAAAATCGGTCAAGCTAGTTGTGAACAAAAATTGCAGCACACATATAAAGATGGAGTGTTGATTCCTTACCCATTAATACGTCAAAATCCTCACTGGTGGAGGATGTGTGCTGGTTTAGCTCATAATGAGCAACGGTGTGTCCCTCAAGGTCGATTGAGCTACAGCCAATCGAGCTCCAGCAAGGGAGGACTTATTAAGTCGGTTTTGGTTAAACTTGCTAATCAGGTCCAACAAAAGGATGCTCCAATCAAAGAAGGTGAATGACCGATTGTCGTTGATAATCTGGACCCATCTAATGCTGAGGCGATTTTAAAGGGCGTTGTTATTAATAATCATGAAGCCCGGAACCGCACATCGGCCCCCGAGAATTTCCAACCAACATGGTGCCCTTCAGGTTTGTCGAGGACACAAAAACGCAAACTTCAGCGTGCTCGTTACATGAAACTCAAGCAAGAAGGGCTAGCAAAGGAACGAGCAAGCACAACTGACACAGAGAAAGTCAGTCAGGTCGACATAAAGTTGGTGAAAGGTCCTTGTTTGGTTTTGGTAATTGAGTGACAATCCTAGGTGGACTAATTGTGTTTATGTGAGATACACAGGTGATTAGTCCATAGGTACATGTGTGTGAGCAACATATGCCATGGAGGTGGAAATGGCTCGGAGATGTTGCAAAACTCACACATGTGATGATGAAGGAGCTGATTGCACGTGAGACATGACATTGAGTCATGTGATCAAGGTGGAGAACATCAAGACATGACTTGGCTCGACGGACCGGTTGCAAGTGTGAAGGGCAAGTTGAGTGATGACTTGGCACCGATGGACCGAGGCAACGGTGAAGAGCAGGTGAAGTCAAGATCGATGAACCAATATGATCACATGATGATATGAAGTGGATCATATCATTGTTGATCGTGTTGGTGCATGTGTTGCATCGACATTGGAGGAGATGGAATG